TTATGTTGCTAGGCAACCACCAAATCAGCTGTCCTTTCAGTCTAATCAAAGGATTATAGCTCAAGCGCTCTAAAATCTTGAAATAAACTGTCATATTAACAGTAATCCTAAAAAATACTGCTCCGGGTAACCCACGACAGACACCAAAAGTTTCTCCTCCATCATAGCAGTCTCCGGACTTTCTAAGCAACGGTAAACTTTCGTCATCACAACGGAAGGCCCGCCTCTCCGTTCATTCGATTGGACAATGGGAAAACGCCAATGACGTCTGGCACTTTTTCTGCTCAGAGTTGCTTTTTTTTCAACTTCAGGCGCTCTGGGCCCGGTTGCATGAAAGTCCTTAAGTAATCTGACTTAGGGGTATCCCTGAGGGGGAAAAAATCCCCGAGGAAAGGGATTTCTTTAGGAGCATTGCAACAAACATCTTAACTGTCACCCTTACCTAAGTGTTTATACTAAGCGTTTCACGGTAGTTTCTGGCAACATATGGCAATGGGCGCCGTGGTTACTATAGTTACTACATCTCACAATAAACAGATATGTATACATATCTATGACAACAAACAGAATACAATGAAATACAAACCTAACCAACTAAAACACAGACAAACATTAAATAAACATGAGCGCTGCTCGTTTCTGCGCTGCTCTGTGTACAGTCGTTACTGAGTAAACCGCTTTGTTTCTGCAGTGAAAGCGCCTCCTGCTGACCAATGACTGAAAATTTCCCAAATGTGAAAATTAACCCATGTTTTGACGTTGCAAACAAGCAGAGTTGTAAATGTGAACAGGTGGATCGACAAGATAATGCATTATAAAAATCTAAACAATTAAGACATTATTATATTTATATTATTTAATTAATGTAATAGGCCTAATTGATTAATAATAATTGTTTAAATTGATATCATAATTGATACAACTCGTCCATTTACTTAAAAAAATGATATAAAACTTTTTGTTTTGTGAAAACCTGTAAGTCGTAATTTTACAGTTTAATATGTTACCAAAAAAAGAAGACATTTTAATTATTTATTAATAAACTAGTGCTTTCTGAGTCAGTGTCGGGTGCAAAGATGAGGTTGCTGAATGCCGACGCTGACTCGCCATCTCCACATGGACGTGCCTTTAATAGAAATGCACCTTTTATACGGACTACAAAATTAAAGAATATTACAAAATCGAGTGGGCGAGTTTTCCTTATATTTATTTTATTATTCATATAAAAATTATAATAACCTGTTTTGGTTATATTTACTATTAATTGCAGAAGGTCCGCTCAGCAAAAATGACGCGAATATTGATGGTTCCCTTTCATGGGAACTTCGAACTGCGTCCTCTAGGGGGCGCTATGGGGAACGCCTCGTCGTGACCCGTGTCTGAAGCATACATTGAAAAAACACCAACTCGTTAACCCACATACTAAAAACACACATAGGCCTACTTCGTTTGTTCTATGTTCCTTTTCTCCTCAGCATACAGTACGTAGCTTGTTTAATTCTCTTGTGTGTTTTAAAAACATTTCATTTACAAAGACTGTGAAACAATGCTGTTTAGCTAAATCGTCATCATCATCAAAAAAAAAAAACAACACCCTAAGGCCCCGATCACACCGAACGCGTTTTTAGGTCTGAAAACGCGAGGCGCACCACACTGCCTTTTTTTTCAATGTCTTAAGTATTACATTTGGGTTTAAAAATCCTGCAGATACTGAGTTTAAGATGACTTTAGGGAGCTCTTTTGGTCCCTTAAATTTGAAATGATACTAAGGACTGAAATGGATACTAAGGACTTTGTAGCAACACTTAAGGGAACACTTATATAATTAAGGGGAATACTTAATGGCAGCCTTAAGGTTCCTTAAGTTGACCCTTAGGTTTTTTTTCTTGCAACCAAAGTTTCACTAAGGGCTCCCTTAACCTTATAACTAAGGGATTTCTTAGCATAAGGATTTTCATGCAACCGGGCCCAGAGCTGCATGTGTGTTCTGTCACTCAAGATCTATATTTGTGTTAGCGTTTACTACTACATGCATGTTCATTTGCAAGCTTTTAATGAGTCACTGTAAGAATCATGTTTTAAAGTATTTTTATTAATTGAACTGAAAAAGAAAAAAAAACAACAACAAAAAATAGCAGCACATCATTGACTCCTATATTGATTTCCATACACTTAATGCTTCAACATAAAGCAACCGTTGTGGCTGTTCAAAAAAGTGATAATACTTTGTTTTTTATTTTCCGCAACAGATAACACTTTAGTGCCAGCTCAGGAGCTGGAGAGACTTAGCATAAGGGCTTTCATGCAACCGGGCCCAGAGCGCTCCTGCAAAAACGCGAGGCGCAGCAGGTGGCGAAAACGCAAGGCGCACAGGGCGCATAAACAGCGTGCAGACCGAAAACAATTAAAAAAAGGCGCCTCTCATGGCAAAAAACGCGTTCTGTGTGATGGGGGCCTAAATCATCATAAGCATAGTCCATATGACACACTATAATGTTTGCCTCAATAAGTAAGCTAATAGGATAAATAAGCAGCTTCTTTTATATCTGTCTCTCAGCATGTCAGCATGTCCCATTTTCCTACAAATCTGAGTCTTCCTCTCCTTTATAGTGAAGGACTGACAACATTGAGTCAATTAAAAGCACAAGTCTCTTGCAAAAAAGGAGGGAGTGAAGTTCCCTATAGTGAGAAAACAATATGGCTGTACTGAGAGACACATTCCCTCTGTGACTTCCTCAGATGGGAGTATGACAGCTGTGACCAAACTCCAGCTTCAGAGGAGATAACAAGCCCAATTAGATGCTCACCACCCCACCCCCATCAGCAGCGTCTCTCTCTCTCTCTCTCTCTCTCACACACGCACACACACACACACACACACACGCACGCACGCACGCACGCACACACACACACTACATTCTATTTTATCCATTATATATTGATCATATACATTTAAATGTGTATAACCTGTTTACTGTAACACTGCATAACTTCCTAATCGTGTGTCTACAGTCCTCTACACATGCAGCCAATGTGCATTGTGTTTTGATTTTGATATTTTATTCTTTCTATCATGTTCTTTAATTATCTGAGTAGTACATGTCAGTTTCACACACTCTACTGTATGATCACACATATTGACATACACATAAACATATCTGAGCATCTCAGAGGCCTGATGTTTTTTTGCAAAGTGAAGAAAAGAACAAACCCATTCAGCCATATGACAGCATTATCTTCTCATTTATTTAACAAATGAACAAATTCAACAAATGATTGATGAAAACATTCTCTTAAAAAAGAAATAAGCATTGGAATCAATAAACATCTTGTAATTTCTTAAAAACTATAATACAATATTCTATATTGTTTGTACAAAATAAGAGTCAGAATACAGTGACAAAACAATGATTCTATTTCAAACACAGAAAGCAACATGAAGTATCAGGACACAGACACAAAGAACCAGAAAGAGTCTCTCTGACGCATCAGTTTCATAGACTACTGTCATTTATTTATCATATGCTTGTATCAGCATACCAGTAGATTAGGAACCTCATAGTAGAGTTTCCTTTTATAATTTTGTAATGCAGCGAGCTATTTGGAGTAGCACTACAGTTATAAAGCATGAACAGGATATGGTCTATGACTGTGGGTTTAAAATCACAAGGAGGTAAACTGGTCAATGGATCACAACTACATAAGTATATAAAATAATAATAATGTGTTAAAAATGTCCTGCTGCCACAACACACGAATGAAGAATGGTGTTTAGACATGGGGAGATGGAGTTAGATACAAATGTAGAGGAATAAAATGGACTTTTTGACACAATGGCAGACCCCACTGAATGTCCACCTGCTTTATTCAAGAGGACAAGAGACATGTTTGGGGTGGAAAATGAGAATGAGTAATCACTGAAACTCCACATACACATGGCAGTATGTAGCACCTATGAGAAGTTGTTCACTAAAATTGGTATGGGTCCAGGTTTTTGCTACACTTGAGTCCCAAGCATTCCTCCTTTCTGAGGGCAAAATTATAAAGATGGATTTGTTCGATGTAGTTAAAGTGCACAAGATAACTGACTGAAGAACAAAACAATGTTGGATAACATAGCTTAGATTGTCATCATGGTTCAGTCAGCAAAGTTTCACTCACAGCAAATGGAACAAAAGGGAACAGAGCAGTTTTCAATACATGGACGCACAACATAGAACATGGACATACAAGCAGTAAGAAACAGACAACATAAATTCAGTCGGTTTTCAAAACAGAGATTTCTATCTTGATTTCATTTCAGTGTCAGCACAGTGTATTCACCCTGAATTGTGGTGGAGTGTTGGGACCCCACTGCTGGCTGGCATGTAGGTTGTTATGTCTTGAGAAAAAACTCTTTGATGATTCTATGGCATTTATCCAGGCACCCAGCTCTGTTTGCTGTGGCTCTGCTGTGTGCTCGTAAACCCAAAACTCATGCCCATTCCTTGTGTCAGCGAGGAATCAAAATTGAAGTCGATCTCTTCTCCCGAGTCCATAATGTCATGTAAGAGTATAGACTCCATGTCACAGTCCAGGCTGCTGTAGAATACATCCATATCCAGGTCTGCTGGCAACCGCTCATGTGGGTAGAGCTGGTGATGGTGGTGGAAGTTGTGGTGGTAACCTGTCCCCGTACCCTGAGGTTGGCGGTACAGTCCATATGCCATACTGTGCTGATGTGGATCTGTGTAAATGTAAGGATGGTGTTGTGGGTATGGAGCTGTAGCAAGGTGGCAGGTGTCCTGTGAGATTCCCTGCATGCCTGCAGGGTTTGGGGGAAGCATGGAGGATGCTGGAAGATGTACATTGACTGGGGAACTATATAGATAAGGGGCTTTATTTATGTATGACTGCATGTGTCCATCACTGGGCTGAGAGTGGACCAATGCAGGCTGATGGTCCTGGCTCAAGTTCCGAATAATGTTGTGGCCGTGAATTGGTTTGGAGGAAGGGTTAGTGGTAGGGTCATTATTCTCACTGTGATGCAGATCTCTGGATCCTTGAGCAACCATCATTGAGTGGACCACATTCTCTTTTCCAAGTATCATGTCCTTGACACAGAACTGGGGTCCTCCTATGGTCAGTAAACTCTGGAGAGTGCTTGTGCCCTTGTAGGCCTGCATACTACTGGAGTTCTCCTCTATAGTCTGCATGGAGGAGTGGTGCTGAAGCAGGCCAACATCTGGCTGGCCATAAACTGTTTCGCAGCTGGAGTCCTGCCCCTTCATGTCACTGGTGTATTGGTAAGATGGCTGTTTATGACATGGGGATTGGTGCTGCTGGTAGTTAATTGTTGCTCTGAGATCTGCAGGACAGTGGGAAGCAGGTGAGTGGGCACTGGAGGGACTGGGGTACAGGTGTGGAGATGCCGAACAGGAAATTCTCTCCACTTCAGGTTCCCCCAACTCCCCCTCGGCTAGTATAGGTGATAGACGACCACTAAGAGTTGAAGCTGAAGAGCTGCCAAATGAATGGAGATCCGTCCAGGTCTCAAACTCCTCCCTAACCACCACACCACCTGTTCCAGACTTCCTAGTGGGACTGCAATGCTCTGGAGAGCTACAGAACCCCAACAATGTCTCTGTACCCTGCTCTGCTTTCATAGCTATTTTTTTACGGTTCACTCGCCCTTTGCTCTTCAAGTGCTTGGTGCCATTGTCCACTGAGACAGCTCTACGGCGAAGAGCTTTCCCTGGCTTCCCTCCATCAGGATTCAACATCCACCACGAACTCTTGCCAGTTCCCTCGTTCTGCACACGGATGAAACGCGTGTGCAGGGACAAATTGTGGCGGATGGAGTTCTAGAGAAAGAGCAAAAAGATGTGAGTTTTAGAAGAATATAGTTACAACAGAAAACCTGTTAAAATACACTCACAAACTGTAATATAAAGTGCAGTACAATGTTAAAATCTCTTTAGCAGTTTATGAAAAATGTATTTTTTTAATGTACTTGTTTATATAATATAGTGTGTATCCAATGAACAAGACAATAGTTTAAGCATATTAAAGTATATTCAATTAACTATTGCCAATTTCAGCTTTTATTAGCTTTTTACCTTTGGAAATCCAGACACTTTTGGACCAGTTTTAAAAAGATTAATAGCCAGTGTAGTCATAGTGTTGTTATTTTTTAACTCGTTTAGCTTTTCAGTAGCTGAACACTTGTATTCTTTAAGCGGTGGGATAGTATGTTACATTTTCCCTGACAATATTTCAGGAATCAAATTATGTTTTAGGTATTCTTTTAAACTAAGAATCTATTTTGATATTAATTTTTTATACATGGAATTAACAGGTTCAGTTTCACCCATGTACTGTTTATTCAAAGCTATTCTAAAACTGATTTCTTACAATAAATTTGAACAAGTAAGTTTATATGATAGTATGCATAATATATGCTTGAGTACTTCCTCATAGAAGTGAATATGTAAAAAAAATAAAAAAAATAATAATAAATAAAAAAACCCAGGGGTTTCTGAACCGTTCATGATCTGCAGGCGGTTTGTTAAATTGTGATAGAAATGCCAAAAGAATAAATATATGTTTTACTGATTGTAAAATAAAATGTTTAAAATTAAAACAATGCAAATATACCACTTTAATCAGAATTTACAGACAAAATTAAAAATAAAATGTTTCATTCTTTACATATATTTACATTTAGAGCATAACCTTCTGGTTATTTCAGGTAAAGCATTAGGTCTCACAGAGGTGCATCTCATACAAAAGGTTTCCTAAGGTAACAATACAAAGAGAGTAGCCATGGAAACATGAAGAAAAAGAAAGAAGTCATCCGTGGTGGTTTTGGACAGACAAACAGGGATCTATATTATTGAGCTGCAGTAAAACAGGGCAATTTTCAGATGTTCATGAGCATAACACCTCTTGAAACTGGAAATAACTGCCATCAATTTCTCTGAATGATACCCCAGATAATTCTTCTGGGTATTACACATAAGTCAAGGTTAATCCTTATTTACCAAATTGGGTGAATAACTCACTGCCAAGGCAAAGATTGCACTTATTAGAGGTGTACTACTCTGACAATGACTGGTTATGTGTTGGATAATTAATAGTGGTTAACAGATCGTTCAATAACGGGACATACTGAATGTTCATTTAGATGACATGGGTGCAGCCCAGAGGTAAGATACCATGTCTCTCTCTAAGGCATTTTATGTCTTGTATACTTTCTCCTGCTCCACCATTTTCCTGTCCAGTAGAGAAGAACTGCTGGGAAAGCTAACTGGCATTGACACTGTGTCTGCTCCTGTTAAACAAGAGAAGTGAGGCTGTGTCAAAGGCTATAAAGTCAACATTTCCACTTTCTGCAGCTCAACTAGAACACTTCCAGGGACTTTTTTAATTAACCACAGACTCCAGTGACAGCACAAATGAACAAAATACTTCCTCTTTTGCAAATGAAAATGTTTAATTTCAGAGCTCATAATTCATTTATGACTGAAATGTACACTGGTACAGCTTCTCAGAAGAGTATTTTCTGATTAAGAGTTTAAAATCATCAAAAATGGTTACACAACTTACCCAATCCCTACCCCTAAACCTAACCCTACCCATAATTTATTCCTAAAATCAGTGTGAAATGATAGCTGATTAACAACATTGTAAAAAAAATTCTGTAAAACTTACGGTAAAAAACCAGCAGCTGTGGTTGCCAGAATTTTACCGTAAAATAATACGGTAGCAATGTTTTAGGTTTTTTACGGTTTTAACTTAAATTTACAGTTAAATACCGTCATTTCATTAACTGATATAATGTTAATATACCAACCTATGGAAGTACTGAAATCTGTTTTGTACCTTTGTAATACACTGATGAGAAAGTCACATGATGAATCAAAGCCCATCACAAGCAGCTTTTAAATAATAACATTTATAGTAGGTGCACAGTGTCATTCACACAAACACTAAACACCATCATGGTAACACTCATGAAACTGAAAAAATGCAATAAACATTAATTTAACAACATTAGGTGTAACACACAAACCCCTAATATACAAAACTGATAAGAAAAAACTAAGAAGAAACATAGTTATTTCAACAAAAAAACATCAAATTTGAAATGTAACGCAGGGAATTCTGGGAATGTCAATTTACGGTTATTCACTGTAAATTACACAGGGGTTTTTTTTCACTTCCAAAAACGGTATACTACCGTAAAATTAATGTACAATACATGTAATGTCCAATACAGTTTTTCACCGTATATAGTATGGGAATTTACCGTTAACCATTTAACAGGTTTTTACTGGGATACAAGGATGTTGATCCAGGAACATATTGTACTTGGTGAAATCACGGTCACCTTATTTTGATGAATGAATGAATGAATGAATGATGCATTTATATAGCGCTTTATTGTGTATTGTTGTACACCCAAAGCGCTTTACAATCATGTTGGGGATCTCTCCTCAACCACCACCAGTGTGCAGCATCCACTTGGATGATGCGACGGCAGCCACAGGACAACAGCGCCAGTGCGCTCACCACACACCAGCTACAGGTCGAGAGGAGAGAGAGTCATAGAGCCAATCAAGTGGATGAGGATTATTAGGAGGCCATGATTGACAAAGGCCAGGGAGGCAATTTGGCCAGGACACCGGGGTTACACCCATACTCTTTTACAATATATTTTTTTAAATGACCACAGAGAGTCAGGACCTCGGTTTAACGTCTCATCCAAAAGACGGTGCTTTTTGACAGTACAGTGTCCCCGTCACTATACTGGGGCATTAGGACCCACACAGACCACAGGGCAAGCACCCCCTGCTGGCCTCACTAACACCTCTTCCAGCAGCAACCTAGTTTTCC